GATTCCAGTAATGGATCTACAGTAAAAGCCAAGGTGAAATTCACAGATAAAACATGCTTAAACTTGCCGTGTTTCACAATGGAGCAATGAACGCAGCTGTCCAGATGTCATTTTCTAGAACACCTTATTACAAAACACAGACTACTTTCTGCAGACAAAGCACTTTGAAGTACAGTCCCATCCACTCTGAAGCTACACCCCTGCCAAGCTCTGCCATTTCCAGCTCTGCTTTTCAACTGCCCTGATTTGCCAGCAGCAAAACAATGAAAAAATAAATAAATCCCTGGTGAGCTGGAAAATAAGAGCAGGGGAGTTCTATTGCTCCATGGTGTTAGTGACTGCCCGGGTGGTGGAATGCTAAAGGAAAAATATCCCCACACCCTACATTTAAATCATGGGTGCTTGCAATGAAACTAACTCTGATGAGGGCATAACAATACTAGGGTCGTACAATGGGTGGATTGCAATTTAAGCTCAGATGCATACAGCCACTTTGCAATAGGAACACTTAGCATCGAAGATGGAAAAGGATGTATTGCAAAGGTAGAGACTGGTTAAGCTAACAGCAACGGTGCAGAAACCTACTTTAATTTCCACTTGCTACAAAGCAGTGGTGGTCAGGTTTGGGAGCGCCAGTAACCATAATTAGCCTTTTATAAAGGTATTTTTTCCCCACCATTTGATATAAGCAATGATATATTTTCTGTTTGTTTTAAAGCTGTAGGTCACAGGTAAAATTGAGTTACCCACAGTTTTGCAGGACATTTCTCTCAAAGAGAAAAGAAGGATTTGAATTTTACTCTGTAATTTTCTGGGCAGCTTTTATTCTCCTCCAAGTTATCACACCTAGGTAATCAAGCTTTGCAGCTCTACATGTTTACCCTTAAGGTAAACTCAAGCCAGATATTTACATCAACACCCTTGGCATGAATCACGGTCTCTGTGGAATTCCCATCACAATTCCTGGTTTGTAGGACATTATAGAACTCTTAGCAGACCTGAGCCAACTTAACTGTGATGGGCAGCCACCCAATAGCCAGTTCTCACACACATACAAAAAAAAAACCCAAAACAACTCCCAAAAAAAGCACGACAGCACAGTGCATCCAGTTTCAGCACAGTATCACTCATCACCACCCAAACACCGGTGGTGATGGCCTGAGTAAGGGCCACCTGTAATGTGAAAACGAAGGGTCAATAGAAGTGAGGTTTGATACCATTGATGTAGTTTTTCCCATCCTCACAGTTTGATACTTGGGAAGTCTGCAGTCAAGAACTATAGCCTCACAGAGAAAAGAGTGATCAATATTCCTTCATGCAATAAAAGAATGTTTTCATTCTTTTGAGAGGAGTAATCTCATGCTTTTGTGTAACTTCACTGAGCTCTGCCACAGTTTCAACCCAGGAGAGTCAGAAGTGGAGGAAGAATAACTAAATACGTTCTATATAAATATTGGAATAGGTAAAGAGATATTTGAGGTGTGCTAACCTGCTCGTTAGACAGCAAAAACCAGAATTCTTAATAGCAGTGCTTTAATTATATCTCTAGGCTCAGGAGGGTGCAACATAGGGATATGCATGATCACATTCCTTTGGATAGCAAGCAAGCTTAGCAGCACCAACATGAATTGCAAAAAATTAGGGGATAAATAAATCTACAATAACAGCACTTGGCACGCTCCTCACCTTTCTCCCAAGAACAAAATCCACATTCCACCCTTATATTTCTTCTTCCCTTCAGAGACAAGCATAGGTCACCTCAACACATAGTTCATAACCTCAGGGACTGACAGTAAGTGTTCAAACACATCTCTATATTGGGTCTAGCCATCTGTTGGTGAACACTTCTGACACAGATGCCATCTGACTTACATTTGTGTCTTGGCTCCCATCACGTCTCGACCTGCTGCCATCGACAGTACCTTATCTCCAAGAGAAGGAGTAGGAAGGCAAATGGAGCTGCCCTAGAGTATTACTAGGTGAAATAGTTGCAGTCTGTTTCCTCACCTTCATTTAGAACATAATGGTTTCACCAAAAAACCACACCCAGCCATCTGTAAAGACAGAACTCCCGAGGTTACCATCACCTAATGTTTCACATGCAGCATGGGTTCTCTCAGGGCCGTGAGAAGTATATATACTAGTCCCGTGCTGCAGGACAAGTATGCATACTAAATGATCATGGCTATGATTCTTAAATAGGACTAAGCTGAAGGAGACTGAAGGCAGAGCAAATACTGCCAGAAGGGCTGTAGTGTCCTGCTTGCCATAGCAGCATGCAGCCAAATGAAGGATGAACAACAAGGTTGCTGAACTGTTACAGCACAGCTGAAGTAGTGAAATAAATGCTTATCTGAATCCCTGATCAAACCTTGCAGTAAGCAGAGACTTGCCCTAAAGTAAAACATTATTATCACACCCAGTGTGAGGGATTTGTGTCTAAAGGCCACTAGTAGCTGCAGATGCCTGAGTCAATGCTCAGGCTCCCACTAATTTCATTTCATATCCCACCTCTCCCAGTGGAAGCCAAAACCCCAAATATATACACTGCTGAGAGGGAAGCCTACAAAGAAACTGCTGTGGTTAAACATCTCCCTTACTGATCTGGGTAATATCTCATCCTGTTAAGAGCTTGAACATCTGTAGCTACTGAACATGGTATTTCATTTCATTTTTACAGCAATAGAAGTAATTTTTCCCTGAAAATTCTTGTTGGGCAATTGTTTCTTACTTCAGTTCCTGTAGAAGTTTTTATTTTAGGGAGAAAATAAAGGCTACCTTTTCTTACATATAGTCTTGGGAGATAACAGCATTTCTCTTCCCACCAGCCGTTGAGCTCTCATCACAAATACAGACTATGTGCAACAACAGAACACAGCTTAATAACGTTGCCATACCTTTGTTTAAATCATTTATAATTTTATCAACTTCTGCTTTAGATGCCCACCAGTAAGTTAGCCTACTGTTGTCAAGTCTTTCATAGATGCCACAAAACTCTGAAACATTCTTTTCATGCTCAGCCTAAGCTTGTTCCTTCACTTACTTGTTTTCACACCAACACTCACCTTCAAGCTTTACCTCCCTGCTCTAGATTGCTTTCATAAGCAGCACAGGTCCATTCTCAATTGTTGCTTTGACAAGCAAATTAACCTAGAGCCATCTGGAGTCCTCTCAAATGGCAGGTTTTCCCTTTCCCATACTTCCTCATCCATGCATCTGTTATGAGTTCATTTTCCTCAAATGGTGGCCAGTCAGCACGCACTGTTCTACATGAGGCTTTACCAGAACTTTGCTCAACATTACTAGTATTTCCCTCTTCCCACTGGAAATGTTTCAACCTCCAGCACCTCTTGATCTCATTGCCTTTTTCAAAACCATGTCACAGCAATATCACGCTCTGATTAGGCATCACTTCCTGTATTTGTCTTTGTTCCTTTTGAGATGTTGAGTAAAGTGTCTCACCTTGCAACTGAGCACAGAGGAGTGATTAGAAGTCTGCTCTGATGTAATATTTGCCATGTCAAAAGCAATAAAGATAGTACCACTTCTGCCTCAGTTTAAGATTATTGGGTGTGATTCCAGACACATTTTTCATCTACTAGAGTTAATAATACTGCAAAGATTTTGCACAGCACTTTAAAGAGGTAAAATTCAACATAAACATCATTTGGCTTGCAAATATATTCTCCAGGAAAACACAAAAACATCTTCAACCATACTACCACAAAACACAGCACCCTTCAGAGAACAACACTCTTCCTTCCCCATTTCAGCATTTTCTAGTAAAGTTTACCTAGGACAGTGAGCTCTTTACTAACACTTCTGCTTCACAGAGCTTGAACACACACAATGGCAGGCCACCAGCAGTCTGCCCTCTCTGCTATCCCTTTTCACAGGATCCTGCTCCCTTATCTGCTTCCCACTTCTCCTGAATGTTCCTTTGACTTGGGATGTCAGGCTGATTTCTCCTTAATAACTAGGCTTGAATTTAAATGCCAGGACAAGAGACACATTCCTCCCACTTGTCAAAAAGCATTTAACAAGTCTGAAGGACCTATGCCATACAGTGACAGTATAGACTTGTGGACAACTCTACTGCCATAACAAAGAGTTTCAAATGAGGTAGCTGCTTACACACCAGTTTAGGAAATAAAAATTAAGTATTAAGGCCCCATGTCTTGTTCTAATAAAGAAGCCCTACAAACATGGAAGAGCTTAGGGAGAAGCTGTGCCTTTAAAGATTCTATTGTACATGTCTAGCAAATCTGAATAGATAGAGTTTTTGGCAAAAAATATTCCAACCTCCCACCTATATGCTGGTATCCACATACCTGTATCTCCACAGTGCCCAAGCATCACCAATTAGGAGAGGACCTCAAAATCAAGAAATAAGTAAAACAATCATAAAACCAAAATTGAATGCAATTCAACTCATTCACATCAGAGAAAATAAAAAGGAACCACTCAGGAGGGACAAAGGAAACTCCCATCATGTTACAAACAGTCAAAGGCTTGGCATGGTGTCAGGGTGAAGGGCGGCTGAGACAAGAACACCTGAATGTCTCATGTGGAAAAATATACTAAAGTCACTCAGTAAATATGACAGATGGCCAAATCCTATGAAGCAGGTAGATGCGTGGCACCAATTACAAAGAAAATGGATAACATTAAGTTGTTATTCCTTATTTCAGCTTAAGTAAATAAGTGCTAAGGACATAGAGATTACATCCTCCCCAGATACCAAGTTTAATCACCAAGATGAAATCAGTGTTTGAAATGCATCTAAAAATCAGTTTTGACACATGCTTTCTCAAAGATAGATTTCTCAATGAAGAGGTGACTATCTACTGCTGTGCAACACCAGTCTGAGATGGTAATTGGAAAGTCCCACTGTCAAGTACCCTGATGGTATGAAAGAAACTATGCGATATAGTATTACGCTGACTTTCCTGCTTACTTTTTATTATAAGAAGGAAAAACACATCAAGACAAGTGTCCATAAGAAGAATCTTGACAAGCACGTTAGCAAAACTGCTATTTATTGAAAGAGAAACATATAAAAAAGATCAAGAATCATGCCTATTTTTAAGCCTTTACATCATTCCAGAAAAGACAAATTTCCCATCTCCGGTTTTCAAATACAGAATCAATACTTTCAGCTCAATGTAAAAGCCACAAAAATGAAGTGTTTGTTTGCTTCCCTTTTAGATACTGGATATTTTTCAACTGCATAATTCGGTATTTTTCTCTGTGCTTTATGCCAAGTGAGGTGAATTCCATCCCACAGCACAGCAGCATCTGACATTATTCACATTCACGAGGTGTGTTTACCTTGAACATTGATGTTTCTAAAATATATACACACAGAGAGATTCCTTGAAGAAAGGTCTGGCTGAATTGCATGCCTAGTATAAGGAAAAAATATCTAATTCAGACTCTTCAAAAAAGCCTCAGTTCCTCTTAGAAAGAGATGAGACAGCAAGTTTCATTAAATGTGATGATCAAACTGTAGGAAGAAGCAACACAATCCCATGATGTGTCTTTAATGGTTAAATATATAAAAGGGAACTATTAATTCCTCAAAACAGTTACTGAAGTAAGGTACTCTATACTGAACTTCTGGGAGCCTAAAAACCATTGTAATCCTTGAGAAAGGTATAAAGGAAATACCACAGAGCTCTTTGAAAGCATGAACAGCAAAAACGGAAAGCAGTTAATGACTGCGCAGTCTTGAAAGTACATGGGCATCAGCCAGTAGCAAGTTGGAAGCAAAAGGACACATTTCATCTCCCAGTACATAGATACAATCTGTGGAGTTCCTTGCCAGATGATGTAAATTGTAAACATTCATGGAGTAAGGTTGAAAGAGCAAGTGAGATAAAGATACAGAAGAAATCAGTGTTTCCTCAAACACTGCCACAACTTTGACAGAAAGAGGTGCTCCACTCAGTGGAGTTTGGAAGATCATTATCCTTATGCTTGAACTATCGGAATAGATATCTCCAGTCATTTGACATAAGGCACTGTAAGATGAGGTACTGGACTAGGCAATTCCCTGCTCTTCACCACATAATGAAGCTACATCCACATTGTATTGTACATCCCTTCAGGTTTTCATAGAAGCATCTGTTATCTGGAGTGAATTTTCAGTGTCGCATGTGCCATTCCATTCACAAGAAGACAGTTTCCAGCTATTAGTTTTCCATATTCTGTCTTGAGCCACACAGCTTTCATACACTGCAGCCCATCTGTATCCTCAGCTATGGAAGCTGCTCACGTGTTTGATGTATTGATGACTTACTTCAACTTTCTCCTTTGCAGAGCCAGGTTTAGGGCTTTGAAGAGAGTGTCCTTACTGTTCAGAACATTGTAGCGATTCACTTCCACCAACCTGTTGAAATGATGTGGCTCAAAGGTGAAATTTAGGGTACGGTAAGGAGAATCTTTTGACTCAATAACGAAGTCACCAAAGGATTTCTCCTCTTCTGACTCACGCTCAACTCCTGCAGCAAGAAAATAAATAAACTAATAATAATTTAAAAACAAACAAACAAACCACACACACAAAAAAAAAACAAACAAAAAAAACAAAAACAAACAAAAAAAACAAACCCCCAAAAAGCCAGAACTGGTAGACTCATTTTACTTGGATTCTGCAAGGAGAATAGCACAGATAACTCTGGTGAACCTTAACTTTTTCCCAAAGCTCCTCCTCAGAGATTCCTGTTCCTTCAGGACCCAAAATGCTTGGAAGCTGAAGGTAAAGTATTATGATACTTTCTACTTCCACCAGACTACAAAACACAGGTCTAAAATATATTTTCATTGTGATAAATGGTTTAGTGCATTCATGAAAGTCACGCTCAAAACAGGAAATACAAAACTCAATTCTTCCTGGAAGTGCCGTTCTACACTAAAATACAAGACACTAAACATTGTGAGTTTATGAGTGACCTGTGGAGGATGGTATATACCCTTCAAAATATAACTCCTGTTTTCAGCACCCTGCCACTTACATTTAAATACCAGTCTTGAAAGATGAACATGAAAGTAAATTGCTAAAAACACTTTTGCTTGTTGCTATTATAGGAACAGTAGTCTTGAGCCATGGTCAAGCCCAGCACTGGGTGATCCTGCCTTAAAGTAATAATTCAGTCAATACAGGGTAATACTAACAAGAAAGAAAGGAGAGACACTGAGCCCACTGAATTGTCCCCATCAGAAAGCCCGAAGGACTGTAAAAAAACTCTTTAATGTACAGCTCCCTTACCTGGAGCTTTGTATTTCTGGAAGGTGTCATTCACCAGTGGGAAATGGAGCACAATTGGAGCCTTTGGATTATCATCATCCACAAACATGTAACACTCTTTTGGCTGCTTTTCGTCTTCCTCACTCCATTTGATTTTTGGAAAAGGAATTTCCCGCTCCTCACAGTATTTCTGAGTCAATTCTAAAACCTGTTGTCAAAGAACTGAAATGATTTTGATGCAATACCAGCAATTTCCAAAGGAAAAGAGCCTTTTGATGTAAAAATATAAATAAATAAAATAATGGACAGAACTGAGAACTGCTACCAAACAGCAGTTTTCAAACAAAACTTTTTCTGTTTTATTACTCTGAATATACTCACCTTGACTTTTCTGCACTTAAACACTTGTACATACAGGAAATTGTTTGCATGAAGAAAAACAAAGATAGCTACTTTTCCATTAGAAGTATACATCTAAGTAACAGAGATTATATGAGCTAAATAATTACTCTATTTTAGGTAACAATTTATTTAGACTTCTGAAAAGCTTTGAATCTTACTACAGTTGTTGCTTTCCATCTCCTCATGACATTCACAGTCAAAAACATAGATTTATTTTAATACATTCTTTCGTTACTATTTGTATTCAGCATCAACTCATCTGCTGCCACTGTGAATATGATTCTGTGCTTTCATTTTCATGTAATAATGCTCATCTCTCACCTCAAATGGAGCTTCCCAGGAATAATTGAATGATAAGATAACATCCACATCCCTCTCTGGCTGAAGTACCAAAGGAAAGGGAGAGTTGATAGAAAAGCCACCATCTACTAAATACAAGCTCTCTTCCATTGGGGTCAGCTGGTTCGGAAATGCATCCAGATGAGTGCCTGAAAGACACTCCAAGTAACACAAGTAACTATAATGATTCATTACACACCCCTAGGTACAAGCAACAAAAAAAGCTTATGCTGGGGCTGTAAGAAGAAAAAAAGACATTCCTACATGCATGTTCATTTGAATCCAACCTGTAAAGGCTGTTGATGAGCTTGCCTTATATGAGAGAACATACATAGTGGATCAATTTTTTTGCTACGCTGTAAGAAGAGGTAAATTCCCTGACTTCAGTGGAACAAAGCTCACTTCTGTTCTGTAACATCAACTGTTCCAGAATCATAACACACTATTTTATACCCCAGATACATGCAGACTCGTTTACCTCTCCAAGCCACAAATTTCTTGACGTTAACATAATCCTTATGAAGATACAGTCCCTGCATGAAGTTGAAGGTTTCTCCACATGTGACCCGGGACTTGAAGAAATCCTCTAAGATTTGTAACAAGGGGCCCCCAGGTATAACCAAGCGAGTCTTCAATCGTGTTGGATCACGGAAATGGAACCTTCGGCAGTCATCTGCAGAAGCCACAGAAGGATGCAGAAGACATACAAAATACTTGCCCAGCTCCAACATTTCAGTTATACTTTTCTCTACAATATTTAACCAGGTGTCCTAAGGCTGAATTTGTCCTCTAATAAAAGTATTGTAATGAAATTTAAATGAGCTGCATGCCCTATAGATGGATAATTTACCTTCCCTTTTTAAAGGGAATAGGATTGCTCACAACTCATTGCTCATGCTAATTTCAGACACCCACAAAGAAACCCTTGTTACCAAGTGACAACCACTTCCATCTCATAAGATGACAGCCATATACCCACAGTAGTATTTACAGTAGCAACAACAAAAACGGGGGGGGGGGCAAAACTAGGGCTGCAAAAGCAGAGAAGAAAAAAACTCTCCCCCTACTACTTACTATAAGGCTATAACATGCACCTGAACATCTTAGCTTTTAATAAACTTCTTTTTCACTGCTAGGAGAATGGAGAAACAATGGAGAACAACGCATAAACATACAACCATCTTAACCAAGATTACAAAAATCAGGCCAAGGAGGGCACTGAAAACTTATTTTCCACCTTCTGCTTAGCAGTCCAGCCTTTAGTCTTCCTCTCCTCATGACTGTGCTTAAGACAGCTTCCAGAACTAGCCCAAACTTACAGTCGAAGTCAGATACAGAATTTAAAAAAGGAGGAAGAGAAAGTGTACTGAAAAACTGGAACTACTCTCTTTGCTATATGTGAAAAGGAAGGATACACAGGAGATTTGCCCAAAACCATGCTTACGCTAATCTTGAAAACCACACAGCACATTTTTGAGTCATACCATTTAAGTCATCATTCTAAAACTAGGAATCATTTGAAAAACCCTACTATTTTAATGTATGTTCTTACCTACAACTTTGATAACATCTTTGAAAGAATCTAGAAAGCCCAGTCCTATACCAACCACCTTCAGGCAGATATCATCTAGGCTTGCAGCAAAGGCACTGCCCCACATTCCTGCAGGAAAAATATAGAAGAATTTAATATTCAAAACACTTTTCATAGTGTAACCTAAAGACCTGTAATTCGCCTGCCATTTGTACAGAAGAGACTTCTCATTTAACCCCCGCTATTTTAAGATGCGATGTTTGAGTTTAAACCTTTGAGTTAATCATGTGACAAATTCTGATGTAATAGTATAATGCAAAAATTTCTCCAAGAGGAAAGCTCTTCTACTAGCAGGGTAAAAGTGGCAAGAAAATCAGAAGACCTAAAGCAGAAGTTCTTGACAGGCAGTTCATCAATGAATCATAGAATCATAGAATACTTAGGGTTGGAAAGGACCTTAAGATCATCAAGTTCCAACCCCCCTGACATGGGCAGGGACACCTCACATTAAACCATATCACCCAAGGCCTCGTCCAACCTGGCCTTGAACACTGCCAGGCATGGAGCATTCACAACCTCCCTGGGCAACCCATTCCAGTGCCTCACCACCCTTACAGTAAAGAACTTCCTCCTTATATCCAATCTAAACTTCCCCTGTTTAAGTTTTAACCCGTTACCCCTTGTCCTATCACTACAGTCCCTAATGAAGAGTCTCTTCTCAGTATTCTTACAGGGCTCCTTCAGATACCGGAAGGCTGCTATGAGGTCTCCACGCAGCCTTCTCTTCTCCAGGCTCAACAGCCCCAACTTTCTCAGCCTATCTTCATATGGGAGGTGCTCCAGTCCCCTGATCATCCTCGTGGCCTCCTCTGGACTTGTTCCAACAGTTCCATGTCCTTTCTTATGTTGAGGACACCAGAACTGCACACAATACTCCAGGTGAGGTCTCACGAGAGCAGAGTAGAGGGGCAGGATCACCTCCTTCGACCTGCTGATCACGCTCCTTTTGATGCAGCCCAGGATAAGGTTGGCTTTCTGGGCTGCAAGCACACACTGAAGCCAGCTCATGTTCATTTTCTCATTGACCAACACCCCCAAGTCCTTCTCCACAGGGCTGCTCTGAATCTCTTCTCTGCCCAACCTGTAGCTGTGCCTGGGATTGCTCTGACCCAGCTGTAGGACCTTGGCATGGTTAAACTTCATGAGGTTGGCATCAGCCCACCCCACAAGTGTGTTGAGGTCCCTCTGGATGGCATTCCTTCCCTCCAGTGTATCAACTGAACCACACAGCTTGCAGACTCAGGGCATCAGACTGCAAAACTATGAACCTACACCTAAACCTTTGGAGAAAGATCTGACATTTTTCCCTTCTTCAAATTCTTTAGGAAAGGATGAAAATGCATGTGTTTAAGTTGATGAGTCCCAAAAGCAGAGTAGCTCCTTTCCATCTCCCCATTTTATTCATTATTGTAAGATCATACCTTGTAGAAAGCAAATCCTAGGTTCTGGACGTTTCTGGATGAGCCGTCCCATGAAGAACTCACTGTCAAAGTCCTCTGTTCGGACAAAAGCTCCATATTTGCGAAACCCAACTTCATAGGGAGTGAACTCACACCATTCTAAGAACAAGCCAACCAGGTATTTACCCATCTCAGAGTAAACGTAGGTAAAAATACTCATTTGATTTCTGTTCAGAGAAGACAGACAGAAAGGACTTTCCCTCCACTTTTCACCTTCACTGTGGATTTCCCTGCCACTCCTCTCAGTGAAACTCTATCTTACACAGGATTAATAAACACTCTTGTACAGGCTATCACTGACTAAATACAACCTCCTTTCTTTCTGGCCTCAGGGAGTGGAAGGATGTTGCATCTTGCTCCATCTTAGCTTTGTTACTGCAGAAATAACCTATTTTACTTCCACTTCAAACCATTCTGATCATTCCCTATTCCACCACAGATGGAAGCTACTCCGCTTTCCTTAGCCCTTCTTCAAACTACTTTCCATCTCTCAGAAACTACTACAATACTGCCTTGAAAACCCGATTGGCCCACTGTGTCAAACTTCATTGTCTGCTTATCAAAGTGTCCCCTCATGCTTGAAAGCTTTCCACAAATACTTACAAATCAAATTCATCATCATAAACACGGACTCCTCCAGAACAAAACAAAAAAGTCCCACAATGGTACACAGATGAACACAAGTGTTTGTGTTCCTGTCTCACTATATCTATCTTTACTTCTTGCATCATATTTAAAGTTTCAAGTGACCTGGACCAGAACTCACTCTCATTTTTTACCATAACTGTGTAACCAGTAAGAATGAAAGCTGCTAAACACCAATTTTAATGATGCGTGGTACAAGGTGGCAAATCCATCATTTTACATGAATCCTACACAAACTGACTGAGACTACAAAAGAAAGTAGGTCACCTAATTATTTGAATTCACTGATTCAGACACAGACTTATGTATTTTCAGAATCTCCACTCTCAGCTCCTGAAAATCTCAGGCACTGTCTAGGCAAACTCTGCTGGAGCAGCCAGAATCTCATTTCTCTGTTAAAGCCATGATGAAGCCATTTGTGATCAGGATGGTAACTCCCTGCCAAGCAGAATCCTGTTGCCTCTTGCACTACCAACTCTGCTTGAGGCACATTTCCTGTTGCCAGCTACTCACTGGCCAAGGAACCGGATAGATGAAAGGAATTTATGGATATTAACCAACAGAAGTAAATTTACCATGTTCGTACCTGCAAAGTCAACACTACTAATACTGGGTCTCACATTGACAGCTGCATAGATAGGATAGGGGTTCTGGGCCCATTTCACTGCTTCTTGCTGATCAGAGAGCTTTGATGGATCTTCCTGGTCACAAGCAAGGATGGAGAAGCAGACTTTAGTCAGATAAATTTGTACCCATACTTTGATTAATTTGAAGCTGTTGCTTACATGGCTTCACTAAGGGCAAACTGTGCCTGACAGATTTGGTGGCCTTCTATGATTGGGCCACCTGGAAAACAAACAGCAATACACATCCAAGCCTGAACTCTTTTACCTTCTGTTGTAGGAAGTACTCCACAATAAGGCCCCACAAATCTGTAAAGGAAACTTTCCGTCCACTGATCTCCATTGCTTTCAGCTCCTGGAAATAGTATTTCAGTCGATCTGGGGAAAATGCCCCTGCTTTGCTGCTGGACACCATAGCCTGGGCTCTCCTGATTGCATCTTGAAGGTTTTTCTGTGACCATTCAGGGTCTTGATACAGTGTCGATAAACACCTGAAAATGCATATATTCGTGTTGTCAGTAATAATGACCCTAATGTAAACAACAGTTTTAGCTAGTTATAATTAGCGCTGAAGTGATTGAACAAAAAGATGAAGTCTAGCTAAAAGGTAAAACATCATTAAAAAAGACAAGACTATAATAATGGATCTTGGAACTCTAAAAGCTGCTGAAAACCCCGACATCTTTAGAACAACTTCATCCCGATTGCTTACCTACCTTTATAGGATGTTCCAAGCATCATATGCTAGCACACATGTTAGCAGTTCATAAATGTGAGTTAACTCCAAGCTCTAGCAAGCCTGAGAGACTGGCTGGCAGCAAGGGTGCTACTACATACAGCAATAGAACACAGGTCTAATTAAAGGAGAAACTAGTTTGGACTATTGGCTATCCACATAAACAGATGCTTGCGTTTGTTTGGAAGTGTGCCTGAATCAAAAGGGGCTGGCCAAATCACAAAGTTAGTGGAAGAATGCTAAGTGCACAGGAGTTAATTTAACACACAAAGCTCTGGAAGGGAGGATTACACTATCAGGTTGCACAACTCCTCAGTTAAATCATTTCATGAAAACAATGTGTGCTTATTATGAGGGATGATTTCATCTCAAAACCCAGAAACTGAGCTACTGAAAAATTCTAGCCATGTCTAAGTCTTCAGCACATTACTCCAATCCACCAAAGGCAAGCCAGTACTATTCCTCTATTCAGCCATATACAACATTTTGGAAGGTGGTGACACAGTGGTCCATGTGGACATGCTTTCACTGATTTGCACCACCTCAGCTGTCTTCTTGGCAAGAGCAGGAAAATGGGGGAAATTTTTGAAGCCAGGGCTCTGGAGGAACACACAGCAGTTTTATTCAGGCAATACATTTTAATACTCAATTTCCAGGCTTACAAAAGCAGCAGATTCATAAATTCAGTCAGTAGTTGTATGGGTTAGGACTGATAATGAATCTCTTAGACTCTTTAGGATCCCTGTTAGAACTCACAGGTGAGAACTAATAAAATACTTGACTGCGTTCTCTGTTTATGGAAGGCACAAATGCAATTTTGGCCTTATTTTATATCAATACTACCATATTCACTTATAATCTTCTGGAATCAACACTTACCAAGTAGAGCCAGAAATCCCACACAGATATATTGCAGCATCCAAAAGGCCCAGCTGCTGAAGCCCAGCAAGACTGCCATAGAACGATGTCAGTGCTCTCATGCCACCTCCAGACCCCACCACTGCTACAACTGGAACCTGCAGACAGTAGTCACAACCACAGACTTTTGAATTGCCAACAAATAACAGAAATAATCCCATTTAAGTCTCACTCTTACAAAAATAAGAGATAAAAATATCTATTCCTATTTACATTTCAAGTCATTTCAGAGCTCCTTTCTCTACCTTGTAATTGAAATAAAAATATAAAAATATAAACCATAACAGTGTCATCTCAGGGACAGTCACCTCCTGAAACTGTTATGCATATCTGTTACTATGCATTTACTCGTATGCCATACAATAGACACATCAGAACAAAAAAGGCAATCACCCTTACAAGAGCATCCAAGAAAATCACAGAGCAAAGTACCAGGCTAAGCAGATGTAACAGTGTCCTCAAATAAGCAACTAATACCTCATCTTTTGAAGGGGATTCTTTTAAGTGAAGAGTCTTCCTCAGTGCTTCAGAAACTATTGCCTTCCTTTTTTCCAAAAATTCTCTCTCCTCTTTACAGAGGTCAAAACCCAGGCGTATATCAAGATCCCAACTGCTGAAATAGAAATAAAGACCAAAAAAACCTGAAGTTTTGGAGCATTTGTAATTACCAGGGAAAAACAATTTCCATGAACACACAATCTAGGTGCTGATCTGAATCATTGGATCCAAGTCTTCATGCAAATGTTAGTGTAGACCAGCTATTTTGTAACAACAGATTTTAGAATTCAAAATGAAACTTCTCCCTGTTGTATTTCTCCCTTAATGTCGAAATGCAAGGTTTGTGTCAAACAGTATTCCAATTAAGCTTCAAAGAACTTCACAAAAAAAGAAAAGATTCTTAGTGGGTGAAGAAAATTGCATGAAGCGCAACTGAGATCACTGTATTGACATGAATGGAGAAATGAGAGGAAGTGATTAGGGTTTCTGAACTTAAGAGGCAGAAGGGGACAACTGAATGCCAATAAACATGCTATGAGTATGTAAGAGGGAAGCAGGATCTTCAGTTAATGACTAAGTACCAAAGGACCCTGTCAATTTACTAGCCAACTGCTTGGTTTTGTGCCTTATTCTTTCCTTATAACTTCCTCTATTTCACAGGTCCAACTCTTCACACACTGATATGTCCTTTCCTACAGCACTGCACATACTCTCAAAACAATCTGAACCTAATAAAGCTACTCAATATTTACAACATCAGCTGTTCTACATTAGGAACACAACATTTGTTCAGATTTCAGCAAGGCTGACACCAATCCAGTTGACATCTGCCTAGTGAAGAGCCACAGCCTTCAGAAGAAAAATAACCATGTATTTTTCCTGAATCTATCCCAAGAGAACAGCGCAGGCAACAGAACTCCCCAGAACAGTGGGAGAATTACTCTGCTCCTTTGCTATGAGAATAAAACCCTTTCCTTGTTTTTAGAGGTCGGAGGTTCCCACTCACCTCTCTTCCGCTTTAAAACTCATATTCAAACTTTGTCCCTGTGAAAAGAGAACACATCTTGTAATTGACAGTAACTACATAGGTGGAATTACTAACTAGAGGTTATGACATGAGCAGGGTCACTTGATACTAACCAAAACAGCAGTTTCACCCACAAAACTACATCTCTAGAACACTTCCTGCTGCACCCATTTCAGACATAGTCAATAGTCTTCACAGAAAGTGAAAGAGCAGAGTGAAAAAAATTATGTCTTCTGCAATCTTCTTGGGTTTTTCCTCTTCCAATATTTTTCTTTCACACCCTAACAGACTTTTGCTTTGGAAAATGCTGAACTCTTCATCACTTATTCTGCAAGACATTTTTAGAAGAATTGCACGGAGTAATCTCAGTGTTTCATTCTAGATATCCAAGGAAACAGGACTCCTAATAATCTTGTGAAGCTTAACTTTTCAAATGCCTGAAGGCAAAGGGGGGAAAAGTTATCCCAAGCATGTTAAAACAGTTTTGAAATGTTGACATTACCTCTCCCAGAGAAACGATTCTATCAACTTTTTGTCCAATAGGAAGTGAATTAACTGGTACCGTCCCCAGTCCCAGAACTGTAGTATGCTTTTCAATATCATTCATACCATCCTATTAAAAAACAAAATGTTATTTGAGCTCTCCAGATAAAAATCAAAGACCTGTATTTCATACATTAAAACAGCAAACAATCTTTAAAAGTATTATAACTAAACCTTTCCCAAAAGTCTAAGACTTCTCAAGATCATCCTGCTCCCTTCTTGGCAGATCTTTATTGGGATTATTTCTGTCACTCAGATAGCTTCATTTTGTTGGTGGTGGTTTGGTTTCTTTAATATAGTTGTCTGCCACAAGCAAAAAATCTCAGAGGCCATACTGGAAGCAGTCATCACAATGAATATTCAATTGCTCCTATGAGACACACACTGCATGAGTACAGGTAGAAACTGAAGTGACAGAAAGCTAAAGAAATCTTTGTGACAAGTCCTTTACAAGTTCCTAATAGAAAAGACCTGATATACAGTATCTCAACAGTGAAAGTAAAGATGTGTTCATGTAGCAAGCATGTGCATATTCAGGGTTTTTTTAAATCCCAAATTTGAACAGATTTTTAAGTGGTGGGGAGGGTATGCTTATAAAAAGAGCTTACTTCTTTACCCAACATCAAACATCCAATGCAAAGTCTGACATTTTTATTCATTTTTTAAATAAGAAAACAGTAATGTGTAAAAAGCAGTGATAGTGAAAAAAAATATCTCTGCTCTTACATTCCTAACGCATAGCCAGAAAAACAACACATTCCTTCAGCCTAGGAAATTCTGATCTGAGCAGTTACAACATCAATGTGTTAAGTTGGAACAAAGAGGCATATCTGGAAGTGATTAGTAACCTTCAGAATAGATGGTCCGTAGCACCACATACATGTGGCATTCCACAGGAAACTTGCTTCCAATGCAAGCTTTTGACATCCACAGGTACCTGTACAATATACCGACATCCCTGAACATCTGAAGAAGCCCCTGGGCTTCTTGTAATCCAATTAAGGCTGTCCAATTTATGGTTAACAACATCTTCATGGAACAAAAGGCACTGGATTCAGGCTGGATTTATTCAAAAGTGGGCTGTAAACTTTGTACAGTCAGCACAGATGCTTACCTGTAGGACAGATATGGTTTGCTCCAGCTCTACTTGCAGTTCTGGACAAATTTCTTTATCCACATGAAAGACAAATGAGGTTCCATAATCCTCGTTGTCTGGTCCCAGAGGAATACGCAAATGCTTCTGATATGCCCCTGGAACAGACACCTTGACCTCACAGCTCCCTGTGCATTAGAATAAGAAGTTTAGACTCCAAGAGACATTTAAATAAATGTGGAGAATCAGATACATGTTAAGTGCAGCTGAGACTATAAAAACACAAGCAAAAACTCTCCTGACTGGTACCCACTGGAAGTGACCCAGCATCATTTAGTACCAAAATAAATGCAAAATTAACTTAAGAAATAAGTTTTGTAGTCAGTAAATAAAAATGCAGTGTATAAATAAAGAATCAAGTCTCCCTTCTCGCCCAAGGAATAAATCCGCTGAAAAGTAGATCTGACAAACCCTGCAGGTAGCTTTACCTTGCTGTTCTTCCTCTTCCTTGACAGTGCCTTGCAGAGACAAGCAAGGATGAACCTACAAAAAAAAGAAACTAACTCCAATTATGACATTTTAGTTCACTTCTTTGTTGAAGCTTAATCCACCTACCATACTAGGTGTAGGCATACAGCTGCCAAAAACACATCAAGGGTTATTTTGATCTTTCAAATAAAGAACAAGTTTTCTTTCACTGTTTGCTCTTGTTCCAAAACCAAAACCACCATTCCCATTCCAGTAACTGTGGTATTTTACAACCAGCTCTTCACAGCTACAAGGTCTCAACAACTGGGGTTTTTCTGTCGGTTTACCTTTTCTCATGCATGTTTGAGTACCTCTTCAGAACCTGCCAGAGAGGCAGCAGCTGGAGAGAAAAGGCACAATTTGGAAGCAGGAGTAGAAATTTCAACAATTCTTGTCCTCTCAGTACTGAAAACTTTCTGAAGGAGTCAATCCCAATACATACGTAATTGACTTCCATGTACTCACCACAAGGACTCCATTGGTCAGTACCTTTGCAGGGGCATCTGAGCTGTGAAAGGAAGAGATTTAATGTGCATTAGGATTGTTTAAAATTTGTTTCATCCTACTTCAGGATAAGCATGGGGAAGAAAGGCCCTCAGCATGTGAGACCACTAACAAGAATATTTCCCTACACAGAACAATGGGGGGAAAATACTGAAGAAAATTTGTCCACAACTATAAGTGTGTGCTATAAGGTCTCCACACCTCAGTTATCTGGGTAACCTAGAGAGAAGCTGAGCTTAGACAGACTATCAGAAAGATGAAGCATTCATTTGTTTACACTGCAAGGTTAACTGTGAAAGCTTTCCGCTCTTAAGTAACCCATCCGCAAAATCTTAATTTCCTTTGCAGTGCTGTCATTCCCACGATATCCAGCAAAATTTTATTTCTTTATTGACACCCCAAAAATTTGGGTAACTGGATCTTTAAGGATATTTGTGATCGAGTTGATTCACCAATGGCTGAGCACCACAAAGAACTGTCTTGCCTTTTTATAGGCAAGACTGTCCCTGCAGAGAAAGAGCAACTAAAACAAGAAATCTGCAGAGCACAGGTTCATTCAGCCCTTCAGGTAAGACTCACCATTTCTCCAAGTAAAACTCTACATCCAGCTCTTCATTAGCCTTTGAAAATAAAAGTTGAATACAGGTGACCCTTGATTTTGAATATAAGAAGTTTTTCCAATAGATTAAGCTTTCTTCCCATAATAAACTACAGTAATTATTTTTATTGCTTTGACAAAAGCTCCAGTTAAATTTTGGAAGGTTAAAATTTATGCCTTTTGCTGTTGTTCTTTAAAGATTCCTCTCCTCCCAGATATACCCTATATGACCAGACAACATCTATGTTTGAGGACGCAAGTGCACACAGTGAGAGCTGGGTCTCAGATCCATTGCTCTGCTAATGAGAAAAAAATTAGTCTCCTCTGACTTAAGTACTACTGCAGCAGCAACTCTGCAAAGAGCTTCTACATGAGGCTTTGTGCTGCCTCCCATTTATTTCAGCAGATTGCTCTTAGCTCATTGCTGTCTTTGTCTTGTACAGACACTGATCCACCCATCTTATCCCCTACCATAGCTTACAGTAAATTCCTGATACCACACCTGATGCAGCTCTTAAAATAATGAAGTAGAAGCCAATTTGGGTGATTCTATTTACTGAAGTTTACAGTTCCTTAATTACTGATCAAGATGGCTTAAGCATTCGGCAATCAAGATAGAGTTACTGGGAACAGGTGAGTTACTAAGCCTCTTTCCATAAACACGAATCACAGTGCCTGTGGCACTGATCAACACCTTCCTGCTAACTGCATACCAGTTAGTCTGCTTCTGACCAACACCAACAGCACTGAAGCCCAGTTTCTCAAGAAAACACGTCATTAGCTCACCTTTACCCCACACCTATTGCAGCAATGTGTTTGAGGGAGTTACAAAAGATCAGACCAGTGATGCGGCTTTAGCTATGTAAACCAAGCTGTCTTGTCTCAAGTCCATAAACAAGTGCACAAGGACTGACAGCAGCTCATGCACCAGTGTAACATACATGAAGCAGAAGTTGAAGGTAACTGAACATAACTCAGGGAAAATAAGCTTTTCTTAGGCATTGCACTTGTTAAATATTGAGGTAACATTCACAGCAACAATCTTCTTCATTGCAAATTGACGACCAACTATATAAGCCAGCCTGCAGTCCACACAATTACTGCTGACTGAAGGTGCCTTTCATTTTAAGCCCAGTTTATGCCCCCATAGTCTCTTGAAAGATCAATTCCCTTTAAAGGTTTTTTAATATCTTCTGAAAGACAGCAGTTTCATTTAGCTGGGTATCCCAAAGACTGTGGAACACACACACAAATCACCAGGGATTTTAGAAACATCTCAGGCAAAAGTAAAACCATACAAAACAGAAATGCATCAGGAGTCATCACCTCCTGATGCTTTCTCCCCTTCTGGCTTCTACAACACAGATAAATTCATCAGCATGTACTGCAGGATTTCTGTAATGATGAGCTGCAGCTATTCACAGCTGACCTGGGAAGAAGCCAGGGACTAACCTCAGGGTTCAACTTGAAAGTGCGCAGCAGGGGCTGACCCAACTTCATGCCCGCTACATCGAAGACGATAGATGTAAGCTCATCGCTGACAAGGACATCCTTATCGTAAAGTGTCAATTCCAGAATGTTCTAAAACCAAAGAGAACCAAACAGCCTCAGATGAAAAGACGGAAACACTTCTCCAACCCTGAGCAGCTGCATGAAAAAGACATTTTCTGCATTAGAATCATGGAATCATAGAATAGTCAGGGTTGGAAAGGACCTTAAGATCAACTGGTTCCAACCCCCTGCCATGGGCAGGGACACCTCACACTAAACCATGTCACCCAAGACTCCATCCAACTTGGCCTTGAACACTACCAGGGATGGAGCATTCAGAATTTCCTTGGGCAACCCATTCCAGTGCCTCACCACCCTCACAGTAAAAAACTTCTTCCTTATATCTAACCTAAACTTCCCCTGTTTAAGTTTAAACCTCATTCCCCCTTGTCCTGTCACTACAAGCATTAATCAATACCTTTCCCCTTTTCCACTCCTGAAGAGTATTTGCTATTTCCAGCAGGGCTTGCAGCATAGTTAAGCAAAAAGCTCCTAGTTGACAGTGTTCAGCTAAAAGATTTTCTGAGGCTTGGCTTACACTTGAGATAGAATCTTGCTTTATCAAGGTATTTCCTTAAACTACCAGGTAGTGTCATAACCTCCCTTTCCTGAGTTGCATCACAAGGACATTTGTGAAAATTCTAGCTACAATTTACATGAGAGGGCAGTAACAAACTCCTGTGGTTATCACTGGACATGCATAGAGCAGCTTTTTGTACCACTGAAGACGATTGACACCTTACAAGCAACACTGGGTTTGAGGTCAATAAAGATCCCTTGGTTTTGAATGAAGTATATAAGCCAGTGCACAAGAGCAGATAGACCAAACAGCTCCACAAAGCTCACTTCTTACCTTGACAGCTGTATGGATTCGATACTGGAAAGTTTCATTCCATACTGGGTTATCAGAGTTGTCAACAACCCGAGTTCGGAAGACTGTAGGACATGCAGTGGGCAGCTTTAGTTCCACATAGCAGTCTGCTTTGGACACTTGAGCAGAGAGTGTGGAGACAGACATCAGAACAACTGCAATCAAACATACTCTTTCCTATAAGCTCCTCATTTTCTAGATCTCACTGCATTATAGAAATGTACAAATTTAAGGCTGGACTTGTAAAGCTCTGTCACCAGGCACCACTGAAAAGTCTGGCTTCATCTTCTTAACACTTTCCTTTCAGATACTTGATCAGTAAGATTCCCTGAGCCTTCTGTTCTGCAGCCTTTCCTCATGAGAGATGCTCCAGCCTGTTTACAACCTTACTGGTCCTTCGTAAGACTCTCTTCAGTAGCTTCAGTACCTCTCACTAGTGGAAAGCCCTGAACTACTGGAGTAGACACCCTACTCCAGATGCAACCTCACCAGTGCTGCACGGGTGCTGAGTAAAGAGGATCACTTTGCTTGTCCTGTTGGCAATGCTGCTTCTAATGCACCCAGGATACTGTTAGCCTTCGTTCCAGGAAGGGCACATTGCTGCTTATGGTAAGCTTGCTGTCCAACAAGACGCCCAGGTCCTTTTCTGCAAAACTGTGGTACACTTTTTGCTCCATCATCCAGATCATTAATGAAGACATTGAACAATAGGGGACACAGAATTGACCCTTAGATGATGCCACTAGTTATTGGCTTCCAGCTGATCACCACTCTCAGAACTCTGTCATTCAGACAGTTTTTCTCCCTGTCTGCTCCTCCAGTCCATACTTCATCAGCTTCTCTATGAGAATCTTATTGAAGACAGTGTCAAAAACCTTACAAAAATCCAAATACACAATATCCACCACTGCGATACCCTCCTCCAGTCTGGCCAAGAGCTGAGCTTTCTGTTTCCATTTCCTGAAAACAACAGATCACCTCAGGGTCTGTCCTTCCAGTTAAGGCTCCTTAACAATGCAAGTATGGGAACCATCCGTTATTTCAGCTGAAGAGAAAGGCCATAAAAAGAATTTCTCTTTACAGTGTGATTCTAGCCCTCAACCTTTCAAGAGGGTTTTCCATTCTTTGAACAGTCATTTGGTATTCTTGTAGTTTAGTGTTGGAATCCAGATATAAAGTTTAGGCAGGCAGACTACCGTACTATATTAAATCTGAAGGCATTAAAACTCAAATGAGTTTTAAAGATCCAAATGCCCTGGAGGCTTACTCAACACAGATGACCAAGAGGAAAGGAGTATATACCATGCTACCAAAACCAGGAACAAAAGCAGTTTCCCTTTGAATCAATCAACCATGTACCTCCTGAAAAGCTTCAATGACATAAACAGAATAGCAAGCACATGAAAGAAAGAGCTAATTCAACTGAGAAAATAAGCATTTGGAAGCTAGAACTGAAGACTGCTACTTCCAGGTGCAAGAAGACTGTTCAGTGGGAGCAAGGGTGAAATGTGCCATGACTGGAGGGCTGAATCCAGACAAGGGAATATAGAACAGGCCATAGTAGGACATGTAAAGGAGAAGGAAGGAAAACATCAGCAGGACTTACCTGATACTGTTCTGCAAAGTAGCAGAGTTAATCTGTAGCTTGGCCTCACATCAAACTATTAATATATATATAATGCTTTACAAGAGAAGCCTTTATTCAGACATAAAAGAAGTACACTATATATACATAAGAAGTTCCTGTAACAATGCTACCTGTGTCACTTGTATACATTGAACAAACCAGCTGTTTTCTTAATATCTTTACTAAATACTTACACAGATCTGTACCCCTGATGTTTCTGGCTCGGAGAACTTTTACCGTTAGGTTGTAGTAAGGGTGCTTCTCCCACTGAAAAAAAAAACAAAAATAAAAACAAGCTCAGCAATACCTGCTCTGTAACTACACTAGGATCAGTGCAGAGAAATAGATCACATCAGCCAACCAAAAATAAGCTATTCATAGAATCACAGAATAGTTAGGGTTAGAAAGGACCTTAAGATCATCTAGTTCCAGCCCCCACTGCCATGGGCAGGGACACCTCACACTAAACCATATCACCCAAGGCCTCGTCCAACCTGGCCTTGAACACCGCCAGGCATGGAGCATTCACAACCTCCCTGGGCAACCCATTCCAGTGCCTCACCACCCCCACAGTAAAGAATTTTCTCCTTATATCCAATCTAAACTTCCCCTGTTTAAGTTTGAACCTGTTACCCCTTGTCCTATCACTACAGTCCCTAATGAAGAGTCCCTCCCCAGCATCCCTATAGGCCCCCTTCAGATACTGGAAGGCTGCTATGAGGTCTCCACGCAGCCTTCTCTTCTCCAGGCTCAACAGCCCCAACTTCCTCAGCCTGTCTTCATACGGGAGGTGCTCCAGTCCCCTGATCATCCTTGTGGCCCTCCTCTGGACTTGTTCCAACAGCTCCATGTCCTTTTTATGTTGGGGACACCAGAACTGCACACAATGCTCCAGGTGAGGTCTCACAAGAGCAGAGTAGAGGGGCAGGATCACCTCCTTGGACCTGCTGGTCACGCTACTTTTGATGCAGCCCAGGATACGGTTGGCTTTCTGGGCTGCAAGCGCACACTGAAGCCGGCTCATGTTCATTTTCTCATTGACCAACACCCCCAAGTCCTTCTCTGCAGGGCTGCTCTGAATCTCTTCTCTGCCCAACCTGTAGCTGTGCCTGGGATTGCTCCAACCCAAGTGTAGGACCTTGCACTTGGCATGGTTAAACTTCATGAGGTTGGCATCAGCCCACCTCACAAGCATGTCAAGGTCCCTCTGGATGGCATTCCTTCCCTCCAGTGTATCAACCGAACCACACAGCTTGGTGTCATCGGCAAATTTGCTGCGGGCGCACTCAATCCCACTGTCCATGTCAGTGATGAAGGTGTTAAACAAGACCGGTCCCAACACTGATCTCTGAGGGACACCACTCGTTACTGGTCTCCAGAGTCAATATGGGAACATAGGCAGCAATTCTGGCATCCTGGAGGAAGACTAAAAGGAGTCCAGAAGGAAATTCAACTCCCTTTCAGCATGAGTGATGTCTTAGGGTAACTCCTCACAGACATCAGAAAATAAGTCCTTATTTAGGGTTTCCTCTAATTATAGATTAATTTGGCTTCACTAATTCATTCCTGCTGAAGTATAAACAGATACTGAAGCTGCTCAAATAATTTTAATCATGCCTTGGCTAGTTTAAGACTACTTGCCAAGGGCACATGCATGCTTGAGTAATAGCAGACATGGCAAGAATATTAACAGCATGGTCTAAAGACATAGAAAGCACATGCTGTTTACAAGGAGGAAAAACCCACTTTCTTGTAAAAACACATACTTCCTGGCAGTTTGAGCAAAAGGCAGACCTTAAATTGCTTTTCATTCTGGAATGTTGCTGGTATCAGCACTCTAAATGTGCACATCACTTTACCAGCAGAGACCAAAATGCAATCCTTGCTCTTGAAAGCTTCCAGGAAGATATTTTTGGAAAGCAATATTAGTATCTAGATGCCCAGATGTGAAGAGGAAAGAAAAATAGTCTGAGAGAATCCTAGAATATCATGAAGGACAAGCTGGGGGAGGGCAGCGGAAGCCAAGAGAAAACAGCTTGAAGGGATGTAGTGCTGAGACTGCACAGAAGTAATTGTCTAAAGCTTATGACCTGAATGGGATTCTGCCTCATTTCCATCGGCTATGACACAATCCTGGCCAGCTAAAAATTTCTTGTATTCTTAACTCCCATTTCAAAATGCTTTTTGTAAGTGGTTGCTACTTCACTTTCATTATTTTCTAAATGATTGGCTTGAGACCAGAGTCTGATTTCAAGATACAGTCAATATTCACCTGCAGCTGAATTCAGCAGGATTTTCACTTACAACAAAATGGGGCAGACTGCCAAACATTACATAAAAACACAGGCCCTACATATCACTAGCTAGGATCTCAATGAAACAAATGAACCCTGGACTGTCAAACTCTTTTCAGTATTCTTTATCTGATAAGCGGAAGCATACTATGTTTGTTAAGCAGTCATATACTTGTGGAATTTTCCCTATCACTTAAGCATACTTGCCACCTTTTGCAAAACAGGGTTTGAGCAACAAAATAAAACCATGACATACATAGTACACTAAACATCTGTGCACTGAGTACCACCCACCCTAACCAACAAGCAAAGGGTAAAAATTACATTCATTGTCAGATACCTCACACATGGGTGCCAAATTAAATTTGTGCAAATAAACTCCAATTATACTACTATTACTCTTAAAGGGCAACATCAACATATTGAACATACATTTTCCCCCCACTTGCTTCTAGGAATAAGATGTTGCACCATTAGCTCTATCCTTCAGATTCTAGTTTTTCTTTTTTTTTAATCATTCCTAATCACCCGTATTTTGTTCAGTCACTGATACTAGTTTCTCAGGCAATGCCTGACCTCCTTTCTACCTCATTGAGTTGGGCAATGGCCTACAGACAGAAATTCAAGATTGCATATATTAATCTTGGCAACTTCCTAAAGGTGCTGCAACTCTTCAGATCGTTGAGAAATGAGCCACATCACACCCCCACTGCTGTCAAAGCAATCTTCACTCATGGAGCCCGACTATCACCTGGAACTCAGACACTATTAGCAGAGGAAACACAGAACACCCTGAAGATAGCATATCCTTTTACAATACAGCATCTGTCAACATATAGTCACATGTTCAAAAGAAAGTCTTTTCCAAAGGTCTCTAACAACCTTTGATTTGCAGTCAGTCATTACACAGCTGAGGACAAATTATGATCAGGGTGTGGAAAATGTAAAGGCATGTAACACAACAGACATTGCACTGTGCTCCCAAGTCTGTGCAATCAGTCATGCCAGAACCTTCTTACGTGCCTCTCCTATTTTCTTTTAGCCAAGGCACAGCAAGGTCATAACATGTTCCAAGGTGAACCTTGCAGACTAATGAAGCAAGAAAGTATCAGATATGCTCTATACAAACCCATCAAGGAAAAGGCAGGCAAATCTGTACGGGAAATAAGCAATAAATAATAACAGATCTGCCTATACCAGTGCACATGACAACATACCAATGCATGCAACAGTGCAAGCAACCAATTCCTACTTTGTCGTTTAATGATTTTTCAGAATTGCCCCTTTTCCAGAGCTCAGGAGAGGGCATTTGAGGCAAAAAAACAAACCCCAAAACCTCAAGGTCTTTAAATGAGGGTACAAGAGTGAATGTTCACATACTCAACCCTGCTAACTGTATCTTTCATCTAAACTGAAGGTGTTAACACAGCAGCAAGCAACTGCAGAACAGGCTATCCCAGTAGTCTCTACCCTGTACCCTCAGATAGCCCAGAATACCTGCCCTTAGAGTGGGATGCAAGTGCTATAGGATCCACTCCACATCTCTCAGTGGATGCAGAGGACTCACCATAAGCATGTCTGTTTCATTACAGAAACGCTGTCAACAGCAAATAAAAATGTAACTTCTAAGCCATATTTTCCTTCATGTTCACAGCTACCAAGCAAACCGGGTAGCTCAAAGAAATGTCCGGTTTACCAAGGGAGCACTTTCTTCCCAGCTTGTTCCTGCTCCCAAGTAAACACTGCTACCCATAATTCCCTTCCTTGTGGCTAAAGTCTTGCAAGTTTGCTTTTAAACCCAAAAGCAAACTCCTGGCTTTCTTTGGCACCACTTGCAATTCCCCTTCTTCCCCAGAAGTGTGCACCCATAGACATGAGAGGAGACCACAGACCCAGCCCTAAGAACCATGATCTTAGGGAGGGCTAGGTTTAGAATCAGTCAGGTGATCTGCACAGTGCTAACAGCTCAGTATCACAACAGCAGTGGCAAACACTGAGCTTGTTCCTGGTTTATTGTTGTTTGTCTTTAGTGTGTGAAACTAAGACTGAACTTCAGAAATTAAAGAGATCCGATTACATTCAATTCACCTACAAAGACGAAAGGGTGATCTGCTGCCCCATGCCTCACTCAATACAAAATCTCTCCCTACCAGGCAGCACAACTAGGCTAAGCCATATTGAATTTCTATTTATTTCCATAGTGAGCACCTAAGGGGAAATATCACATTCAGTGGTTTACGGGTTAATGGAAATCACATCAGACTAACATTAGTCTCTTGCAGCCCAATTTCCCAACTACTAAACAACATTTAAAAGAAAGTCAGTAAGACGATCTTTATCACACAGCAAGAACTGTAGAGAGGACATTTATCTGTGACATTTAATGGTCACCCCAATTTGAAGTTGTAGATTTTGGGGGGGGTGGGAGAGAACAGGTCATCAGATAACAGATCTGATCTCCTAGGCAGAGACTCCTTCACAAACACTTGGTGTAATTCAAACCCAAGGTTATTGGCCATACCATTTTATACAGTGGAATGATTACCAATTAAAAGGCAAACACAGCGAAACCCCTTTATCTAATGTGGTTGGTCAGCATTATGAACAGGGGGTGACATCATCATTAATCTTTGCCTATTTTAGATCATTAAGCTCCATGGGATAAGGTAGAAAGCAGAAAGGAAGGGGAATGGTAATCAAGGATATCTTCCAAGGAAACACAAACACTGTTTTGTCTCTGCTGATAAAAAGTGCAGTATTTTGGACTCACCCCCCACACAAAAAAAATAATAGTTGGCATCAGCTTAAATCTATTCCCCAAAAAGTCAAGGAAACAGAGACCTGCTCTGCCTCACACAGATTCTGAATTTAATCAAAAATGAGATCTCCATTAGCATTATTCTCACTCAAAATTCTCCCCTAAACTTTTTGATCAAGTCCTGCAGAAATGCAGGATCAGTTTTCCACACGTGCAGTAGCAGAAGTCACTGCTGGACACATCAGCTGAGGAATGCTGTCTTACCCGCCTGTGGTAAAACCCAGTCTCCTTCCTCTCCTTCCTTTGGAAAAGCACAGCTGCCAGAAAAGGCAGGACTCTGGGTGGAATCGTGCCCCGCAGCACCTCATGGAACATGGGGAATGTGTCCCGTCGTCGCCACAGAAAACCTGAGACAGGGAAGTGATAGGGAATGAAGAGTCCCCCGACACGCAGCTGCGAAGGGCTGCCCGCAACAGGCTCGGTCTGAAGTCTTGGGCAGGACTAGGCTGTGCTCCAGCTGTGGGAAGCAGAGGTGTGGCCTGCACTTGACAACACACTTCAAAACCTCGCTGCCAGGGTTTCCAAACACAGGTAAAAGATAAGGGCAGCAAAGCAGCACCCAACTGGGGAGCCCTCGGCAGGAGGAAGCACTGCTCCATGATCAAGCCACAACCTCAAAACCCCCAGTCCAAATTTAGTTTAAGAGTAGCAGCAACCTCATCTTAGACTTTGGCCATTTTAAACCCTTTCAGAGTTTTAGCATACCCTAAAAAGAGTACTTTCAAACAGAAAGAAATTCCCATCTTACAATCCTGAAGCAAAGCCAAACTCCTCATCGACTGTAGCTATTCAGACAAGTTTCAGAAAGGCCTGAGGGGAGATAAAACAATTTGGGCTGTATTAGGATGCCTCAGAGAATATTGATTCACCACCATGTTTAACTTCTCGCTATGTGAGCAGCCTGCACAAGTCCCCCCTTTATTCTCATTTCCATGTAGCACAGTCGTGATTCTTCCAACACAGGTCTTGAAAAACTGTACAACAGAGAGGGAAGATTCTTTATGAGTCTTCCTGGGCCTTAAAAATAAGTAGTAAAGGAATTTGTTTTATTGGAAGTGATCAGTTTATTAACAGCTGCTCACAGTTGTCTTGTCTGAAGCTTTTCATTAAAGAGCTTAAACTGAGGGAGCAGACTGAAAAACAAACTCAGGTTTTTCAACAATTATAAAGTGGCAGAGAATGTACAAAAGCCAGTGATGCAGCACGTCACCAGCCCCACGCAAGCATTAGAACGTGACACATTCTCAGCAAGGTCCCATTCATTAATCATTTCCTGTCATTAGTGTCAGTCACTAGATCAGGATTTAAGAAAATTAGTAAAAGCACAGGCACCTGCATTTGCAACACAAACAAGTCAGTACTAGTTAGTCAATTCACAGACTTGAGAGCCAATGCGCAGGCAAAAAGCACACAATACCATTGCAAAACAGCCAGCAACTGCTGTAAAGCTCTTATGTAAGAGTAAGCAGTATAGTAGACAATGGACTGAAAAGACAAGTCCTTTGCATTTCTACATACCCAGCATTGGAAGTGAAGGACTGTCGTATTAGGTTTTATTTATCCTTGAAAACTTCCAGAACCGTAAACTGGATTTATTTAATCTAATATATAGCTTGATACATAGCACAGGAAAATTGAGACAGCTTCACACAGCAAGCTAACATGGAGAAATCACACCTATTCTGAACAGTTTATTATAGGCAGCATAGAAAGTCTGCATTTTATACAGTGTATGTCCAATTGCATTTAAAATCAGACTTACCTGCCTTTTCCTGTTTTCTCCCACTTAAATCTCAGCACAGAGATCTCATGTTTACAGAATTGCTCTTGAATTTCTCTCTCAAGAAAAACTGAAAGCTCTTTAGAACATATGCTTAAGAATTGTTTCATAGTCAACGTATCATCTGTTAGCAAACAGTGTTTGTGTGCAGTGTTATCCACCTAGACACTGTCAACAGACAACTTAATAACTAGAGAAGCTACTTGGTTTTGTCATTTTCCATCAGACTAAGAAAACAAGCAAGCAGATTGGCATCAAAACATGACCTGTTTGTGAGGTAACAAAGATGGCTTCATTCCTGGTAACTTTACTTCCACTTGGATTAGCAACCCCACAGTGGTAAAGGTAGATGTACATCTGTATTTCATTTTTTTTTTGTCAGCATCATAAACAAATGACACCATCACTAACTATACTATACAGTACTTAAAATGGGCACAGATATCACAAGGGACCCCTTTTGCTCCCATTAGCAGCACTAAGAGGAGAGACAAGATGCAGTGCAAAATTAGATGATATTAAGTTTCGGAAGGATGCTATCAAGGTTTCAACTGGGCAGCAGAGGGGAGTTGGTGGATTGGTTTTCTCCATAAATACCAATATACTTGACTGTTCAACATGAAGACAAAAGATTCTTCTTCAGTACTGGAATCTCATGCTTCTATAAATAGGAAAACTGAAGATCTATATTATACTACCAACGCTATTCTACAACCTACAATTCAAGCAACTGAAAGACCTGTGAATCAAAACACTTCTCGATTTAATCACAGAGCTCAGCATCCCTCCCACCCCAAAACAGCACACCACCACTCAAAAAAATTATCAGTAATTACAGTGTTCTCCAATAAGTACATATTTAATGGCATAAGATTTTCAAAAACATTATTCAAAGCAAGAATACAAAAGTGGTTTTAGTAGGATTTTGAGAGTATTCACAAGCATACTATAAACTTGCAGATTTTAAAACCAAAGCTGAGAAGTGATGACAGTCTTCATATGACATGGCCTCATTTGATTGACAAATATTAAAGCAGGAGTGATACTGGTATGCCCTGCACTGGGTCTGAATTCCAGGAGAAATGGAGGACTAATAGATAAAAAGAAATCTACAGCAGCCCAGAGAAGCTTAACTGCGCAATGACTGAAACGCACACCGGTTCACAACATTTATTACAATCTATTGCTTTAGATAAACCTGCTGTATGGTTAGTAAACCCCAACCATGTGGTGAGAACCAACAAAAAAGAAATTACAGCACAGACCACATGTCTGAAAAAGGTAAGCAGTGAACAGAGGCACAACCTTAACCGCATACGTAAGAGCACAATGAAGATCCACTGATGTGAACACAGCTCCCCTGATAGCAGACAATGAAGGTAAATCAGACTCACAGTATTAAACATAAGCTAGGTAAAAATTGGAGCAATATTGTTATATCTGTATACAAAGAATACAGGGTGTTTTTAAATACCCTTCTTGCATTCTCAATGACCTGTAAACACAACTCTCCCAAACCATCTTCCTTCTGTACCTGAACTACTATATAAAGATCTATACAGAATGTGCAAATCCAGTGTAAGTATTTTTAGGTTCTCTTCTTCAAATAGAAGAAATACAAGGTTAAAAACATTAACAGCACGAATTCCCTCTACCCAGCCTCTGCAGAAAGACAGCAGCAGCAATACCGCCCAAGACATCCAAGGACAGAAGTAGCAAAACACTGGACCAAGAAATCCACAAGAATGCATGGCATATGTACAATAAATGCAAACACATCTGGAAAGGCAAAAAACAACAGTTACCATGGGAAACTATCAACACTGGCAAATGAAAATGAATTAGGACTCTTGCCAGCCTACAGCAGATCTGTTCCTAGAAAGCACTCACATAAGTAAACCTGTAATGTTAACTGAGATCCAATTACACTTTAAGGCAGACAGGATTTATCTGCTTATTCATTAAGAAGTGGTATCTGGTAGTGACATGCCATGCTCCATACTATTTAATAATTACAAGTATTGCTAGACCACGGACGTTGGGAGTCAAACAGTCACTCTATTAGACTATTTGCTACTGCTGCCTTTTCATTATCACTATACAGATTCTTTCTGCACCAAACATTTTAATATCCCTCATAACCAATCTGCTATAGATTAAAGTTTGTGGAAAAATAAGTTCGACAAAAATATTACAGCCTACAAGGAGTATGGTACAATCTAGCTCTTGTAGTTCAGACTTCTGGCCCAAGAGTAACTTAGGAATAGTACCAGCCTGAGCAGAACACAGTTCTAGAGCATTTATAATAGAGAGATGTTGAAATAGTCTTTTGAGTTTACTTCAAGGATGGAAAGTGAACCAGAGAATAAAGAACTTATATACACACATCTCACGTGTAGTCTAGAAGCTCAAGTAATAACTATAGTTCACTCCCTCAGAAGTTGCTTTACAGGGTGTTCTTTGATTTTTGCTGTGAGTGCAGATATGACCTACTTAGAACAGTCTCTGAACTTTCACTCATGCTAAGAGTAAACAAATTTAGTGCAAACAACACAGAAGTTAATTCCATTTACAGCTCTCAAATTGAAATAAAAAGGAAAAAAACACTTACTAGTGGTACCTGTGAAACATCTTATCAGAAGGTCAGGTGGTAACACTGAATATCAATAAAAAGATTCCTTTGGCAAGCAATTCAACATTCCCATTACTGAGATGAAAGTAAAATTTTATTTTCTAGGTCTTGATATAGGCAAAGAAGTCTCCTCTATGCCAAACTCCTTGTGATCTCCATGCAACACTGATACAGCTGCGAAGACTTTAAAGGAATTTCCTTTTTTTGAAGAACTATTTACATTCAAGGCCAAATCACAAACACTGTCACCCTAAGGAAATAAGTTTTGCAGTAAAACTTGACTTGTGCTGAATGCCCAACAGTTGTCTAACAATTCATCCACAAGGTTGGAGTGCAATACAAAACTCACTACAAAAATCAGTTTCTATTCTTCATCTGAGTACTGAGAGGTTCACTGTAGTTGTCAGCGCTATAATAACATGGGTAAAGTCATTTTCTAGTAAATCAATATTGCCAGCTGGTACAGTCAGTTCACAGATACAAATGACTTCTACCCAGTGTAAAAGAGCCTAGCAACAAGCCTCAAAAACAAAAAAAAAAATCTCAAGAGGCATCAACTTCTGAAGTCGTCAGTTCCGAGTTTCATATGAATGTTGGGACCATAACAAAGTCAGGTATCCAATGTGTTGACTTCTTTGGAGCAGAAATAATGCACAACTTTTGCATTAGGGTATCGAGCAAATGCACTGTAAAGAGACAGAACACAAAAATTAATTGTCAATAAAGACAAAGTTTTCCTTGTTCAAACAAAAGCATCCAAGTTATACAGAATCAGAACGAGATGCTTACATGGAAGTGACACTTTCTTGTTTGAATTACAGCCCAAATACACTCCTGAGAAACCCAGACAAAATATTTATATGGACATATATGCATATTTAATTATATGCATTAATAATAAATATTTTCATTAATAAATTAATATAAAATTAATAATTTCATTATTATTGCATATTGCATACGCAAATTTAAAATCCAATGCTACATGCTATATACTAACAGCAAAAAAAATGAATATACACAGCAATAAATATAATCAGGCTTATGTTCATTAAAATGTCCTGGAAAAAGAATCTTTCCCTATCATTGTGAATGCTACTGATATGACAGAGGGTTCACACCAAATAGATAAACAATAAATAAGTCGTGTAGCATTTCACTGGAGTTCAAACAGGAAAAAGGGCATATAAAATCTGCTTTCTATACTAACCCATAATTACCTACTAGAAGTAGTAGGTATCAAGTGAATTAGTTCTACTAATAGATGTCTAAGACAATTAGGCTACAATTTGTAAATCAGCCAGGCAACCACAGAGCCATCAGATATAGAAAACTGTTACACATATTTCTTCGTTCGAGATTCTTTATATCATCCTTTTAATTCTAGTTAAGAAGCAGGTAGTAGGCAGTGTTTGTAGAAAATTTTCCAAATTCAGTGGAGAATAAAAGTGATTTTCCACCTTGTAGAGTTGTGAAGTAAGAAGTCTTACGAGTTTCTAAAGTGAATTTTTTCTCCTTTACTGAAAACAGTATTAAACTCTTGCAGTAAGCTTCATTGACTAAAGCTCTGGTGTTTTCCCAGCGACTCAGCTGAGCTATGTAATTTGTAATTCAAACACTTCTGAAGTGTCTCCCTCATACTGCTGTTTTCTCCATGTATATACGCATTCTGAGTTCTGCAACAAGTTTAAGTGTACCAGATTCACATCTGACTCAGTTTCCCAAGCTTTAAGGTATACACTCTCTCACCTGTTACCTATCTTCTTTTTACATACAGTGCACACCTTCTCCTCGGTAATAATGCACTTCACTTGCTGATGCAAGATCCTCTCCTCCTGGACCTACAGAAAAATAACTAACAAATTAAAAGACATTCCTCAAAAAACAATGCCACACCACAGCTCCCTTCTAGTCTGGTTAAACTGAAAACTATCATAAGGTTTAAATGCCAGTGGCTATGTCTACATTAATAAGCTGTATAGCACAAAAGCAGCAGGTCTGTAGAGAAGAGCAGATGGTATTAACCAACACCCAAGCTATATGAATTGTAGGATTTTACTTTCAACTAGCCTGGTTCACAAACCAAGGCATTCTAACCACTAAGGAGTGTTCAGATGAACTACAGAACTGCATCACCTGCTTTAGTTTATTTGAAACAAGTAAAATATATATATATGTATATATACACATACACACACACCAGAGCACAACGAGCCCAAAAACTCACAGCAAAGACACACACACCATCCAAACTAAAACCAAAGCTCTCTCCACTGTTGGAAAGGGACATTCAACCTACTTGATGCACATCTATGCATTTCAGGTGCACTACAGCGCCATCTACAGGACGATACGCTGCATAAGGAAGACTTCATACTGAACATGATAGGTGGTGGGTACGTACCCTCAGAAACTCTGAATGGAGAAGATTCTTGAGTACTTGATTAAATCTTTTCTTCTGAGCATTTTCTTCAAGGACTTTCTCTAAGAAGATTCGAATCTCACTTATCTGTGTATTTGCTGGGAGCAGGTTTATTGCCTGGAGCAAAATATACTTAGTTAGGAAAAATTAAGAGGAATAGAGAACAAAATAGAACAGAAATCGACACATTTAGGTTCACACTGCTACATTCTGTTCACTTGCTTACTCAAGTACTTTCACCTTTTGCTAACAGGACAAACTGAGTACTAACAAGTGTTTCTTACCTTGGTGGTATCCAGTTTGCTGTGATGCAGTTCCAAAACCTGCAGAGCAGCCTGCAGATTGGCTTGAGGTTCTAGCACTTCCATCTTGATTGGTCCCAGGCAGTGAACACTAGGTGGGGAAAGATACATCCGGAGCAATGACAGGTAGACCTGTTGAATATGAAAGGAGAGTTCTGAGACCACTGCACCAAAAGTGACAGTGCTGGTGGAACCCAGCAATGATACTAGTAAGTTGTACTCATGCTATTCAAAATTCTTGAAACAACAAAAACTGAAAAGTCCCAATGATGTTCAAGGCCTTTTAATTGCATTCTTCAGTAAAGATTTTCTACAAAAGCAGTTTTAATTACACCTTCCTCATTTATCTTGCCCAATTCATTTACAGCTTTCAGAAACCGACACTTCATTGCTCTTTATCATTAACTTTTCTGTAGATGCATGTGGAATATGCACACAGCATTTTGTCTTCTGAATTCCATCAGAACTTTAGCTAGTGCACGCTCCAGTGATACAGCAACATTCTCAACAAATTAAAAAAAAAAACGAACAAAAGAAACTAAGCAAACAGAATCATCTAACAATTCCTGAATTCCAAGACGTTATACACAGTTTCCCATTCACCCTCATAAACCCTGAAAAAAGTCAATACAGAGCAAAAAATTAAAAGTCCCTAAACATGGTAGGAATGGTCTAATGTATTCTTAATAAAAAGGAAGACTGCAAAGATGCAGCTACTTACATCTTTGTTGCCATCTTTGTTTCTGTCATAATGTTTATGGCAGTAGCTAGAACAGAGAAGAATCAAATGAAATGCAGGGAGTTTTGGAAGCCAGAGAATCAGTCCACAGAAATTAACATTTATTTGGTTTGATTACTAAAGCCATCCAATTTAGGTGACTGTATATGCAATTCTGACTAATTAATCAGGCTGCACAACAAAATGATGCCATTTACTCTGAATTACAATGCTGAGAAAAGGGAGGTTTTGTGCAAGTCTCCCACTCCTATCAGCTTAAAAAGCTTTAATCCAGAATCTAAATTTAATGCCTCTTCAAACAGAAAGGAAGCAAAACACCACACACAAGTTCACAATCTAAGGACAAAGAAACAAACAAAACAGGAAACCCTTACTTTTCAGCCATGTTGGTGTCCTTCAAAATATGAACATAAATAAACAGAGCTTGCTCATGCTTCCCCATACGACCCAAGAGCAGAGCACGCTCTTCTAGGAGACCTAGTGATAAACACAAAGGATTAGTCAATACCTACACGGAGAAGTGATAACATAAACTCTACTAGTGACCAGACTAACATCAAGAACTACAAAACTGTAGTCTGAGCACAGGTTAAAGTTACAGCAAGACTGTATTTGTATTTCACACCAGTCTCAGTAACATTTTATGAATTTTCACGCAAGCTTAAGAAACATCAGACTTCACATTTGTTGAGTAATTCACGCTTATCAAAAGGTTAAGCTAAATATTTAAGTGATGGAAGATGCCACAAGGTCTTAGGCCAACTGTTACAGGAACCCTGCAGAGACTGGCAAACCCAACTTTGCCAGCAAAAAGAGTTAATATCCATACTAGCAGCCTACAACTACAGATACAGCCATCTCTGTTTCTAGTTACCATGATTCTACAGTAAGTGAGGAGGTTTCATTGTACAATGCAAATAGGGTTTATTTAACCTATGGAAACTGAACTCACCATCAAAGGGGAAGTCACTGATTAGTCTGCTTGGCTCATACCAGCTAGACTTCTCCAGAAAAAGTAGAAGCTTTTTCCGGTAATCCCCCAAGTCTCCTCCTTCCTCCCCAGCAGGCACCGGCGTTTTATCTATATGGAAGAAAGCAACATAAGCTACAGTATTACAACTGTTTCACAACACTAGCACACAGAAGATGACAAACAAATCATTACAAGCAACCAAAAGCTGATGAAGCTGTTAGATGGGCTGGGATTCCAGTGCACCTGCCAAATTACTTTGGCTCCTTATAACACATCGAATGGCCAGTTAAACAATAGACTCACTTATTCAAGACCCTTCCCTACCCTTAATATGCAAAATTCAGGGAGCATTAGCTGCCATTCCACTAAATCATGAACCAAGTGTCACTTGCTCCCTCTAGGGAGGCAGTAAATTAGACTTCCCTATAAACCCACAAATTTTGTTGTTCCATTTCCCTCATCACTTAAAATATCTTCTGGGTGTTAACAGGGAAGGCTTACAGCAAAACACTGTGAAGGCTCCCCTGTGCTGTCCCATGCCCCTGGTC